GCGTGCGCGTGCGCGCACCCGAGTGCGTGCGTCCGGGGCGTCAACTCCGGAGGGCTGGGCTGCCGGCGACCGGTGTCTCGGAGCGGGAGCGGGAACGGTGACGGAGAGAAGAGCAGCGAACAGGTGGGGGTACGACACGAGGATGGAACCCTTTTACCCGGAGAGGCTGAGAAGGCGCGCGACGGGACCCCCGCCTCACCTACCAAGAAATCCCCCTTCTATTGTCTCTTGGCCCCGCCCTCCATTGGGCACGCCCTTTGCCTCATCCCCCGCCGTTTATTGGCTACAGGTCACGCCCCTCCTCGATATCTCCGTCCCCATTGGCTCCTCTTCCACGTTATCCTCTCCGGGAGTTTCCCCATTGGCGCAGGCCACACCCTCTCATTTGTCACCAGACTCCACCTTCAGTCTGGGTTCCTCCCCTCGCCATCCTTCATTCATTCTGCATCTCGTGCTGGATGCTTGAGACATGGGAGTGAATCAGACCCGTCCCTGCCCTCAGGGAGTTCAGGACATGGTGAGGGGACACGGACCTAGGCTACGACAGTGACAACCTAGGGCGGTAAAGAGGCCGCCTAGGCGCCCTGGGAGCCTCTAAGACGCCTGGAAGACTTCCCGGAGGAGGTGAGGCCTAAACCAAGCCCTGAAAAAAATGGGTAGGAGTTTGCTCCAGGGAGACATTGGGAAAGCATTCTGGGCAGAAGGGCCTGAGACATAAAAGACACAGGCGTATTCTGGCCATTGCAAAGAAGTGGGTGGAAGGAAAGATGAAGGGGGACTGGTCCAGGTAGAGGCTTAGAAACCACTGAGAAGTCCAGGAAAGTGTACAGTTAGTTGAGGGGAGTGAAGCCTGAGGCCAGAAATCTTTTTAAGCAGCTGGTCTCTGGGCGGGGTGGAAGGAATGTGTGTGTGTGGAGGGCGGACGGGCAGGGGCGGGGGGGGGGTGTCAGATCCAGATGGGAAAACAAAGTGCAAGGAAGGAATGATTCCAGTTCTGAGAAGGAAAGGGGCTCTTGGGTGCAGTCATTTATTGAACAGCTGCTCTGGGCTCTGGGGACGCACTGTGAACACTCAAAAGGAGAAAACAGATAACTAACCATTAGAGATGCTGTACTTCAGATGGAGGTACCTGCTACAGAGAACAATAACCGGAGGAAGCGGGTGGGGAATTGTGGTGGAGTAGGGAGAGGAGATTTACTGTTTTATAGAGTGTGCTTTAGGGAGGCTTTTCTAATAACATATTTGTGCCAAAATATGAGGTAAGGGAGAGAGTGACCACTGCATTTATATGGGGGAAAGACATTCCTGACAGGGGACATGTTCAGTTTGAGATGCCTACTATACATTCCAGGAAAAACATGTGGAATTGAGAACTGCCAACACTGGTCTGAGGTTTATGGAAGAAGTCTGGGCTGATGATCCTAAAACTATGAGAATGGATGAGATTCCCTAGGGAGTGAGCACAAATGGAGGAGAGAAGTTTCCATATAAGTTTCCAAGTGCACTACTGTGTTAAGAGGTCAGGAAGATAGCAAGGAAGGAAGATCAAGAACAAACAGCCAGAAATAAATAAATAAATAAATAAATAAATAAATAAAATAAAGAACAGCCAGCCAGTGAGGTAGGAGATTTGGGGAGCCAAGTGGAGAACGTATGTCCAGAATGAAGTGATTAACTGTGTCAAGTGCTGCTGATCAATATGAAGATTATTGATGACCTTGGTTAGATCACTTTCAATAGAGATTGGGGGGAAAGCCTAATTGGAGTGAAATTTAAGAGAGAACAGGAGCCCTGGCTGGTGTGGCTCAGTTGGTTGACTGTCATCCTATGCTCCAAAAGGTTAGATTTCTGGTAGGTAAGGGCACATGCCCTGGTTTCGGTCTGGATCCCCAGTGGGGGG